AACCTCTAAACCTCTAAACCTCTAAACCCTCAACCCCACCCCTTGCAGTTGTGATATGTAATCGTGGGATGGTGCCGTTCTACTATCCCGTGTGGGTCAGTGCCACGTGTGAGCAGTTGGGGCCACAAACAGTCGGCAACACTCCGTACGAACACAACGAACAGCTGCGTTATCTGCTGCCCAATCAAAGCCTGGAGGTGTGTGCTGTGATGGGGGAGTGTGTAGTGAATGTCTAGTATAAGACTAGTAACTGTGCATAGTACATTGTATCTTCTTAATCACAGCCTAGAGGTGTGTGCTGTGATGGGGGAGTGTGTAGTGAAGGTCCAATAAATGACTAGTAACCGTGCATAGTACATTGAATCTTCTGAATCACAGCCTAGAGGTGTGTGCTGTGATGGGGGAGTGTGTAGTGAATGTCCAATAAAAGACTAGTAACTGTGCATAGTATTTTAGGACAGGTGATGTGTGTTGTGGTCCGTTTATTTTATTTTAGGACAGGTAGCTCCTTGCCCTCCCACTCAGAGGTGTCCTATTTCCATTGCCCTGCAGATGGTCATCCCAATGCCCTTGGCCCATCTTGAGGGACAGACTGTGACGGTGTCTCTGAAAATCAACTCGACAATGCTCTACGACACGCAGGTAGGCAGCTCTATGACACCTAGGTAGGTAGCTCTATGACGCGTATATAGGTAGCTCTATGACACCTAGGTAGGTAGCTCTATGACACGTAGATAGGTAGCTCAATGACACGTAGGTAAATAGACCTTTGACAGATACAGACATTGCAAATGAACTGTACTACTTTGGAAACATACATTACATTCGTATGTTTAACAGGGTTTGGGGTTCAGTTAAACTCTAAACCCTCAATCGGTCAGTCGAAATTTGTGAAGCACTTCTAGATGCGCTCAGGCACAGTTTAAACCGATACCTACTACATCAACTGTATCCGTATACTAACACACGTTTACAGCACCCCACAACTACTCACCAACCCCAACCATTGACTATCGTCAGTCGATTGCCTTGCACTATATGTCATATGAGTCACTCACAACAGTTTGTGTTGCATCGCAGGTGATCCATTGGGCCAATGCAGAAGACACCGATGGGCTGCTGGTAGTACACCCTCCAGTCACACCTAATGCCGTGGCATGTATGTGAACAAGCCATGCGCACAGATAATACTTGTATAGGTATATATATGGGGTATATATATATATATATATATATAAATGTATATATATATACATATACATATATCTTATATTATATATAT